CTGCCCAACACCCACCCACAGACTCAGGCTGCCCACAACACCCACACCATAGACTCAGGCTGCCACAACACCTACTCCACAGACTCAGGCTGCCCACAACACCCAGCGCTCCACACCCACACCACTCAGGCTGCCCACAACACCCACCCACAGACTCAGGCTGCCCACACCATACTCCACAGACTCAGGCTGCCCAACACCCATACCATAGACTCAGGCTGCCCACACACCTACTCCACAGACTCAGGCTCCCACAACACCCACACCACAGATTCAGGCTGCCCACAACACTCACCATAGGCTCAGGCTTTCCACAACACCCACACCACAGATACGCCCACAACACCCACTCCACAGACTCAGGCTGCCCCTACCCACACCACAGACTCCTGCCACAACACCCATACCATAGACTCCAGGCTTCCCCACAACACCCACTCCACAGACTCAGGGCTGCCCCACAACACCCACACCACAGATTCAGGCTGCCCACAACACCTACACCATAGGCTCAGGTCACCCACACCACAGACTCAGGCCTACAACACCTACACATAGACTCAGGCTGCCCACAACATACACCACAGACTCCAGGCTGCCCACACCCACACCACAGACTCAGGCTGCCCACAACACCTCCACCACAGACTCCAGGCTGCCCACAACACCCACACCACCACAGTTCAGGCTTGCAGCCCCACACCACAGACTCAGGCTGCTTTACAAGCACCTACACCACAGACTCAGGCTGCCACAACACCCACGGCACCAAACTCAGGCTGCCCTGGCTTTACCCACACCACAGACTCAGGCTGCTACAACACCACCACAGACTCCGGGAACACAACACCCACACCACAGACTCGAGCACAGCACCACACACACCACAGACTCAGGCTGCCCACAACACCCACACCACAGACTCCGGGCTGCCCCAGCTACACCACAGACTCAGGCTGCCCACAACACCCACACAGACTCCAGGCTGCCCACAACACCCACACCACGGGCTCAGGCTGCCCACAACGCCCACACCACGGGCTCCAGGCTGCCCACAACACCCACACCACAGACTCAGGCTGCCCACACCACACACAAGCTCAGACACCCACAACACCCACACCACAGACTCAGGCTGCCCACAACACCCACACCACAGACTCAGACACCCCACAACACCTACTCCCACAGACTCAGGCTGCCCACAACACCCACACACCACAGACTCGGGCTGCACAGCTTTTACACAGACTCAGGCACCACAACACCCACGCACAGACTCAGGCTTGCCTAGCCACCCACCACAGACTCAGGCTGCCCCTGACACCCGCACAGACTCAGGCTGCCCACAGCACCCACACCACAGACTCAGGCTGCCACAACACCTACTCTCCACACAGACTCAAAGACTTTGCTTACCATACCATAGACTCAGGCTGCCCACCACCCACACCATAGACTCAGGCTGCCCACAACACCCACACCATAGACTCAGGCTGCCGCAGCACCTCCCACAGACTCAGGCTGCCCACAACACCCACACCACAGGCTCAGGCTGCCCCTAGCACACCCACACCACAGACTCAGGCTGCCCACAACACCTACTCCACAGGCTCCGGCTGCCGCAACACCACACCATAGACTCAGGCTGCCACAACACCCACCGCAGGCCTCAGGCTGCCCCGCAACACCTCTCCACAGACTCAGGCTGCCCACAACACCACACCACAGACTCAGGCTGCCCGCAACACCCACTCATAGACTCAGGCTGCCCACAACACCTACTCACAGACTCAGGCTGCCCGCAGCACCTACTCCACAGACTCAGGCTGCCCGCAACACCTACACCATAGACTCGGGCTGCCCAGCACCACACCACAGACTCCAGGCTTGCCCCCAACACCCACACCACAGACTCAGGCTGCCCACAACACCTACTCCACAGACTCAGGGCTGCCCAACACCCACACACACCACAGACTCAGGCTGCCCACAGCACCCACCACAGACTCAGGCTGCCCACAGCACCCACCACAGGGCTCAGGCTGCCCACAACACCTACTCCACAGACTCAGGCTGCCCGCAACACCCACACCACAGACTCAGGCTGCCCGCAACACCACTCCATAGACCAGGCTGCCCACAACACCCATACCGCAGGCAGGCTGCCCACAACACCCACCACAGCTCAGGCTGCCCACAACACCCACACCACAGACTCGGGCTGCCCCACAACACCTACTCTCCACAGTCTCAGGCTGCCCACAACACCCACCACAGACTCAAGGCTGCCCACAACACCCACACCACAGACTCAGGCTGCCCACAACACCCACACCACAGACTCAGGCTGCCGACAGCACCTACTCCGCCCAGACTCAGGCTGCCCACAACACCCCACACCACAGACTCAGGCTGCCCACAACTGCACCCACACACACAGACTCCGGGCTGCCCACAACACCCACACCACAGACTCGAACGCCCACAACACCTGCAGACTCCAGGCTGCCCGCAACACCCACCACAGACTCCGAGCTGCCCCAACACCCACACCACAGGCTCCAGGCTGCCCACACAACACCACACACCACGGGCTCAGGCTGCCCACAGCACCTACTCCCACAGACTCAGGCTGCCCCAGCCCCACCCACCACAGACTCAGGCTGCCCACAACACCCACACCACAGACTCAGGCCTGCCACAAGCACCCACACCACAGACTCAGGCTGCCCACAACACCTACTCCACAGACTCAGGGCTGCCCACAGCACCCTACTCCATAGACTCAGGCTGCCCACAACACCCACACCACAGACTCAGGCTGCCCACAACACCCACACCACAGACTCGGGCTGCCCACAGCACCCACACCACAGACTCAGGCTGCCCCACAGCACCCTACTCCACAGACTCAGGCTGCCCACAACACCTACTCCATGAACTCAGGCTGCCCACAACACCCATGCCACCATGGGCTTAGGCTGCCCACAACACCCCACACCATAGACTCAGGCTGCCCACAACACCCACACACCATAGACTCAGGCTGCCCGCATACCTACTCCACAGACTCAGGCGCACACAGCACCACGCCACAGACTCAGGCTGCCCCTGGCACCCACACACCACAGACTCAGGCTGCTGGCGCCTACTCACAGACTCAGGCTGCCCACAACACCTACTCCATAGACTCAGGCTGCCCACAACACCCATACCATAGACTCGGGCTGCCCGCAACACCCACACCATAGACTCAGGCTGCTGACACCCACACCACAGACTCAGGCTGCCCACAACACCCATAACAACGCTCGGGCTCCTCTAAGCCAAGGACGTCATCCGTGTGTTCCACAAGTGTTCATTAGCGGGTGTGTTGCGTTTATCACTACAATTATCCCTCATTGCCCGTCACTAAAAACGGCGAGTGATACATCCATGTGTGTTTGTGTACTGTATGTGTACCATTTTGCAAGCTAAGTGTATTAGCCATTTGAACACTACTATCTGTTATCAACTGCGCTCTTCTTATTTAATTTTAGATTAATAAACATAAGCGGGAGATAAGGAGCCAGGAAGAGGCCGTCTTAGTACGGTACGGTACATGTAGGTCAAGTATAAACTTCGTTGTTCTTAAGTTATGCTACCAACGTTGTTACCACTGCCTGCTCCCTCGGTATGAGTAGTAATATGGCCGTTGCATGTATGTTAGCTGTATGTATGATGGTCAGCGCACACAGCTCAGTGTGTTAATTTTCAGTTCTGTATTCATTTTTGGTGTATATAATACCATGGTTGGAAAGTCACTCATTTCTTAAAAAAAACGATCAAATCTATCACGATTTTCATTAAAAGGTAATTATTTGAGAAAATACTTTGTGGAATATTGGTAAAAATAATGTATTATTCTGAAGTGGATGGTATGAGAGAGACACCAGCAGAGTGGTAAAGATAGGTAGCGAGATGGTCATAACTCAGGAAGCAGCGGTGTTTGCTGCTGCTGCATTACGAGTTACGATAGGCACCTTGGAGAAGGACAATACCATAGCATATTGTATAAGATATAGCAGTTATGAGAATGAACGAAGGAAGAGTCTGTGTTTAAACTTAAGTTTAGCCATTCTACATCATGTGTGTTGAGTACGGTCGGAAAGTATAATATAGAATGTTCATTCTAAAATATGTGTCAGGGAGAAATATTCAGAAGAGGAAGGCACAAAAGGGTAAAAGTGGGTCTCATATTAACGCAGATGGGGGAAACTGAATACTGTAGTGGTGTAATGCCATTTTGCGAGAGAAGGTCGTCGACTCTTCCCTTCCCGCATTCTTTGTTGTTCTCGTTGAGAATACAGACTTTTTTAACGTTTTTATGAACATATGTCATATTATAATAGCTGTTTATAAGTTGTCTGTCTTTTATCCACAATGATATTTGTGTGTACACTGCCTGCAGCGTATACAGTACTGTATATTGGTTTGGTTGGACGGAGGTCATCTATTGAAGTGTAATGAGAGTGAGGATGTAATACATACAGTTTATTGGTAATTCGCATTTAGCCGTCTGGTATGTAAGGAAACTCAAGCCCTTTCGATACTGTGAGATTTGATTTGTAACATAAACAGAGGAAAAAGATTAAATCATCCTATTCGAAGTTTGATCTTACGTTCTGTGTCAAACAGTTCCGTAACTTGTATCTAATTAATATCATGGCATTTCTCTCACTCGCTCATACATGTCACGAATGAGTTAACATTCACTCTTAAGACATGATAATTGAGGTAAGTGTACCAACCCTTTGTGCTCATCTTGGTGGTGATACTTGACCGGGATTCATACACTCTGTAGAGTAAGAGTACTGCTCGTCTTTGTGTAACAATACAACTGAATTCTAAGATAATGTCTTCACTATAACGAACGAATATTGTCTTGGTTTTCTTGTTGTGTGTTATATCTGTCTATCTTTGTTTGGCTCTAGCGTGTAACTCTGTGTTACAGAGACGGCCATGGAAAGTGCTGAGAACTGCTCCAGACCGCCGCCCTCACCGCCCACCTCGCCGCCTATGTCCCCACACGCCCTGCCGCCACACGCACGTGTTTCTGCCTTCTCTGTCGTAACGCCCCACACAAAAACCTCCCCAGGCAAAGGTAAGTAGCCCACACCTGTTGGGTGGCGACACAGGTGTCCCGTGTCACCTTAGTTATATGATGGTGCTGCCTACTTATTTCATAGTGTACCGCACTTGTCTGGTGCCCGGGGTTGCCACCTTTGACCTTTAGTGTAGCAGGTGCGTGCTTTTCTTCTGTACTTGTTTGATGAGATTGCAGTTGTTCGGTGCTGTTACATATTGGTAGTCGGTGTTGTGTAATGTTGCAGATTTTTGAGGGGACTTCATTTTTTGGCGGTTTTGCAGATTTTAGGTTGTTCTTTAAGTTTTGGCGGTGTTATGGATGGTCAACGGTTCTTCAGTTAATTGGCGCATGGTGTTGCAAATGTTGGCTGGTTTTGTAACTGCTCGGTGGTGTTAGAGATGTACCGCCTCCTACACACAAGAAGGTTCCAAATAAACTTGATTCATGTCAGTTTGGTCACGTAAGTCGAGTTTTTCTTTACCTCACCATTTGAGCAAAGTGTCGTGGGAAATCGTTGGGTGTGTCACAGGATGAAACACGGGTCAGTAAATAACATGCTGACGGCGGATGTGCGATGGGGGTTTGGATGTATCATCCTTGTATTGTGATTTGTTGCAGTTGTTAAATGTTGCAGCAGTTGTTTGGTGGTTGATGTGGCGCGCTTTTAGTTTTGGTGGTTGTGGCGGTGTATTTTTTATTGTTAATTAAAGACTTTTTCTCCTTTGATGTTTATCAGAGTTAAGCTAAAGTACCGAGTTAACGGTCAAAAGACATAAAAGGTACCGAGTTAACGGTCTAAAGACATAAAAGGTACCGAGTTAACGGTATAAAGGCATAAAAGGTACCGAGTTAACGGTATAAAGACATGAAAGGTACCGAGTTAACGGTATAAAGACACAAAAGGTACCTAGTTAACGGAATAATGGTTGCCCCTCATGTAATGAGGATGGCTGGCCCAAGGGCCACCTAGGCGTGAATTTGTTTAATGTGTAGAAGCTGTCACCAACACAACAACCACACCCTGAGTTAACGAGCTGCATGACCCCGTGTCAAGGAATAGTCCGAGAAGACTGGACAACTCGCCAACTGCACTGGCTAACCATTACCCCGGAACACGATTCGCAAATCGATTAACATCCAGATTCCCAATTCCTGCTTGGTAGACGGAGGGTATAAAGACATAAAAGTACCGAGTTGACGGTATAAAGACATAAAGGTACCAAGTTAATGATATAAAGACATAAAAGGTACCAAGTTAACGGTATGGAGGCGTAATAATTGTACCGTAACAGGAAGAGGGGGACAGGTCCGATGGGAGTTAGAATGACACCCTAGTCACATAATCCCAGAAAAGTGGTGCAATAGATCATAGTGTCCCGGGAAGTGTCACTCGCAGCTCCTGAGGGACGACTGACGTGAGTGCCTCGACAGGTCACGATGGCCCTACTGGGACACTCGTGCCTGAGGTCCCTCCAGCACGGCTATTCGCTGCTACCACGAGCCCCTGCTTTTAGGAAGTTGCCTACCATATTGTTTTTACGGATTATAGGCAATGTCTTCCTTTTTACCTACAGGTTTGGTGTTACCTGTAGTGTGAGGTCCTGTGTCAAGTGTTACCTGTAGTGTGGTGGTCCTGTGTCAAGTGTTACCTGTAGTGTGAGGTGGTCCTGTGTCAAGTGTTACCTGTAGTGTGAGGTGGTCCTGTGTCAAGTGTTACCTGTAGTGAGGTGGTCCTGTGTCAAGTGTTACCTGTAGTGTGAGGTGGTCCTGTGTCAAGTGTTACCTGTAGTGTGAGGTGGTCCTGTGTCAAGTGTTACCTGTAGTGTGAGGTGGTCCTGTGTCAAGTGTTACCTGTAGTGTGAGGTGGTCCTGTGTCAAGTGTTACCTGTAGTGTGAGGTGGTCCTGTGTCAAGTGTTACCTGTAGTGTGAGGTGGTCCTGTGTCAAGTGTTACCTGTAGTGTGAGGTGGTCCTGTGTCAAGTGTTACCTGTAGTGTGAGGTGGTCCTGTGTCAAGTGTTACCTGTAGTGTGAGGTGGTCCTGTGTCAAGTGTTACCTGTAGTGTGAGGTGGTCCTGTGTCAAGTGTTACCTGTAGTGTGATGGCCCTGTGTCAAGTGTTACCTGTAGTGTGAGGTGGTCCTGTGTCAAGTGTTACCTGTAGTGTGAAGTGGTCCTGTGTCAAGTGTTACCTGTAGTGTGAGGTGGTCCTGTGTCAAGTGTTACCTGTAGTGTGAGGTGGTCCTGTGTCAAGTGTTACCTGTAGTGTGAGGTGGTCCTGTGTCAAGTGTTACCTGTAGTGTGAGGTGGTCCTGTGTCAAGTGTTACCTGAGTGTGAGGTGGTCCTGTGTCAAGTGTTACCTGTAGTGTGAGGTGGTCCTGTGTCAAGTGTTACCTGTAGTGTGAGGTGGTCCTGTGTCAGTGTTACCTGTAGTGTGAGGTGGTCCTGTGTCAAGTGTTACCTGTAGTGTGATGGCCCTGTGTCAAGTGTTACCTGTAGTGTGAGGTGGTCCTGTGTCAAGTGTTACCTGTAGTGTGAGGTGGTCCTGTGTCAAGTGTTACCTGTAGTGTGAGGTGTGTCAAGTGTTACCTGTATTGAGTGGTCCTGTGTCAAGTGTTACCTGTAGTGTGAGGTGGTCCTGTGTCAAGTGTTACCTGTAGTGTGAGGTGGTCCTGTGTCAAGTGTTACCTGTCGTTGGTGGTCCTGTGTCAAGTGTTGCCTGTCGTTGGTAGTGGTAGATGTAGTGTTACTCGACGAGGCGCCTGCTGTAGGTACGACATTTGCCCTTTATGTCGCAGGTGCACTTGCTTCAGGTGTACAGCATGCTGTCAGCATAGGTATAAGAACTGCATATTCACCCTAACCATCACAGGTACCCTACATGTATATATGGATGATATAGCACCGACTCCCGTGTTTAAGGGCGCCATAGTTGCTTGTGGTAAAATATATATTACCACAAGTGTGAAAGGACGACTGCTGTACCATATAAATGTCTCTTCGTGTGTGAGCACGCACCATACTTCACACAGAGGGCAAGCTGCCCCACAATCTTCTTGGGTGACGTGCTGTATATGATGAAGAAATAAGACAACTCATGTAGGAAGGTGCGAAATGTACATCAGGCGCGTCACGTACACTAGGTGCGACATGTACACCAGATGTGACACGTACAATACACCGGGTGTGACATGTACACCAGGTGCGACACGTACTATACACCAGATGTGACATGTACAATACACCAGGTGTGACACGTAAAATACACCAGGTGCGACACGTACACTACACCAGGTACGGCATGTACACTATGTGTGACACGTACAATACACCAGGTGTGAAGGGTATGTTTCTTCCCAGCGCCTAGTTGTGTGCCCTCGTTGTCACCTTATTGACACAACAAATGTCACTCTTTTTGTACATGTTTCCTTGCTCACCAGAGTGTTTACAAGCACTTATTTTATTGAGTAAGGAAGACTTTTATCCACTTGATTGTTCTCCAGTTTTCATTTTCCGCCTTAGAGTATTCTAACATGGCTGTGTATACTACACTGCATATTGTGGTCAAGTATAAAGTGGTCCTTGTGTATGGCAAGCCACCGTTCCGCGGGAACATATTGAGTGACATTCACTCTCCATTTAGGTTTCAGAAGACGTTCAATACTAAGTGCGTTGTCACCACTCACTACCAGGGAGGGCGCTGTAATCATCCACAATGTCCGTCGTTTTGTTTATTTGTCAGGTTGATCAGCAGCGACGCTTCAAGGGACGCGCGGCACGCCCATTGCCGGCCCTGACAATCAATATTTATGTTTACCTTTAATCTGATGGTTATTTCGTATTCGTGACAGTATTTTTCTGATTATATTTATACTGTTTCGCTCTTTTGAGATAGCGTGCTCTCACTTGCGATATTTAGCGTGCATTAAGTGTAGCGGTGTGTGAGGACCTAGAAGAGGTGTATTGCAGCGTAGAATATTAAGTAGCTTTGGAGTGAAAAGAGGATAGTTTTGTGGGAAGTTGCATCGGTAAAGAGGTGTTATATTGAGCTTGAGGCAACGTGATGTAGCGGTGTGTTACGTATGTAGAGCGTGGGGACATACAGTACAGGGTAGTTAAAGTGGTCTTGGACTAGTGCGTTACTGTTTCTCAACTATTAAGGAAATACATATAAACGTGTTTGTTAAGGACACGTGTATTAGTAAATATTTATGTAATTTCACCAAAAACAAAAACAGTTATTTGCCTTGACAATCTCTCTCTCTCTCAATGGCAGCAGTAAGAGCAGGCGTTCCCCAGCTCCACGAACTTAACATAAATAAGCAGTGATTTTAGCAAGGTTCTCGTGATAGTGCCAAGTCCCCAGGGATAATCCCCCCTCCCCCAGCTACCACCAACCCCCTAGCTCTCTTGGTCTACTGTGGTACGTATGTACATAAGCGGAGCAGCGGTAATCAGCACCTGTCAATGTTATGCTGGCGACGGCAGTGTGGTCGCTAGGGCGGGTTTATGCCGCTTTAACACTCACGCCACATTCATTTTGTAAGCACCTCACTCCACTTTTAGTGTATTGCACTCAGATCACACTCTTATGAATGCCTGCAGGTCAATTACCAGTATGCATTCACTATCATGCTCAGCTGACAACGTTAGGAGTACGTGAACACTGAATTGCACTATGCATGTCCGATTATCACCTGCCTCTCTTAATACATTTCCGTGATTTAATTCCTATTGGGAGGGAGATGAGTTATCAGAGCCAGATCATCAGGTCTCTACAAGTATATTTGCCATGACATTACCTGATCACAGCAAGGAAATTACATGTGATCACCACTACATGCTCAACGAGCACTTCATGTACACTTAATGACCAGGAAATATTTGTGTAACTACCAATTCACTGAACGAGTCATTAGTACGTTCTCAGCACACAACCTGCTTACTAATGAGCCAGTAAATGGTTAATGTCAGACTTTGTCACCACCCAGCTTCTGTCTATCACATACTGTACACG